CGTTTTGGTATACCACATGTCATCGTGACAGACAATGGAAAGCAATTTGACAACGCAAAGTTCAAGGACTTTTGTAGAAAGATGGGCATAAGCCACCTCAGCTCGTCCCCTACGCATCCAAAAGCAAATGGGCAGGTTGAAGCAGTTAACAAATTATAAAACGAGGGCTCAAGCTGAGACTGGACTCCAGAAAGGGAAGATGGGCCGAGGAGCTACCCGAAGTGTTATGGTCATATCGAACCACCCCAAGAGAGTCAACTGGCGAAACTCCGTTCTCGCTAGCCTTTGGCTCCGAAGCTGTTGTACCAGTAGAGATCGGCATGCCAACAAACAGGGTAGAGCAGTACGAGCCAACAAGAAACGAGGAAGAATTACTCCTTAACCTGGACTTACTGGAAGAAGAAAGGGAAATAGCTCAACTGCGCTTAGCAGAGTATCAGAACAGAATGGCCAAACATTACAATGCCCGAGTTCGACCTCGAAGCTTCCAAGTTGGACATTTGGTCTTAAGGAAAATTCAGAGCCATGTGAGCACCCTTGACCCAAGCTGGGAGGGACCGTTCGAAGTTAAGGGCATAGTCCGGCCCGGAACGTATATGCTAGCCGATCTGGAAGGAAGAGTGCTTGCGCATCCATGGAATGCGGAGCACTTGAAGCGCTATTACCCTTGAAATGTCAAAATAGTCCTAAAATGGACTTGTAAAAATTTTCAAGGGACGGAACTTTTAATAAACGGAGTTATTTAATTTCGTGATTCCGAGTTCGATCAGAAATTAAATGGGGGCCACGGACTCCCATAAGACTTAAAATCGGCAAGCGGCAAGGTAAAGGCAAAAATTGATCAAATTCAATCCTCAAAACCCACGGGTTCGAGGTGCGATGTCAAAATCAATCACGAACCAAAATTCAATCCTTTGAACGCTTAAGTTAAAGGTGCGATGTTGAAGGTTCAAGAAATTCAATCCTCTAAACCCATGAGTTCGAGGTGCGATGTGAATGTTAAACTTGAACTCGAAATTCAAACCTTTGAACGCTTAAGTTAAAGGTGAGATGTAGAAAGTTCAAGATTGCTTAATATTATCTTTTGGACTTCCGAGTTCGAGGAGAAAGATTAAAGATCAATAAAAGAAACTCTCAAATTCAAACCTTGGATAAGAGGTGCGATGTGAAAAGAGTTATCCCACACTCAATCCTTTAAACTTACGAGTTAGAGGTGCGAGATGAAGTTATTCATACATGTGTTCCGACTTACAAAAGCAAGTTTAAAAAGCTTAAAGAGAAAGTAGTAAAAGAACAAACAGAAGTGGAGAAATGGAAATTTCATTGATCAAAAAGACAGAGCCAAGGCTTGTATACCTTGCAGCTCTGCCCTGAAGCTTACAAAAAAATAATAATAAAATAAAAAAAAGGGGAGAGAAGGAAAGAGAGCCTCAGCTACTTCCGAGGTGGGAGGCCAGCTCGCCCTGGGAGCCGAGAAGGTTGACCTCCTGGGATCCACCCTGCTGTGAAGAAACCTCTTCTTGCGTTGTGTCGACCTCATTAGGCTCTTGGCTAGGAGCATCCTCTTCCTCCACGTCGGAGTAGTCAGAGTCCAGCTCCCTGACGTACTTGTCCACCAGAGATTGGGGGCCAAGAGTATCATTAGGCCCAGAAGCCCACTTTTCAGAGTACTTCTTCTTGAGATCGCTGAGATCGATATGAAGATGAGGCATGTCGGCAGCAATGCCCTTTCATCAGGAACTTGAAGCCGGCATCGCTGAAGTCATTGGCAAACCCATCGAAGTCTGGGTGTTGCTTGAAGGCTTCCTCCAACAGAACTCCATTGGTGAGGCGTTCCTTCGTGTCTTTCAGCTCGATGGTAAGGCGCCCAATCAAGGCATCCTTCTCCTCAAGAGCTTGAGCAAGGTCGTCCTTCTCCTTCAGGAGCTGGAATTTCTCCTTCTCTAGCCCTTTGGTGATAGCATGGGCTGCTCTGAGATGGGCCTTGTGCCTCTCACCCTCTTTCTTTAGAAGCTCAGCCTTGGCGTCCACCTCGGCCTTCAGGATATCCACTTCAGCACGAGCCTTTAGTAGCTCGCCCTTCATGGTGGTAGAAGCCTCTAAGGCAGCATAAAAGTTTTCCTTCTCCTTTGCTGCTAAAGCCTCCCTCCCATCCAGCTCAGCTTTGATCATAATCGTTGAGTGAATGGAAGCGACAAACGCCTGCGAAAGTCAAAGAACATGACGGTTAGATCGAGCTATAAATTGAGAAAATAAATAACAAGAACAGATACAAAAGCAGGTCTTACCTCGACAGCGTTGTCGATTGTCCTCTGCAGTATGGACCCAGGATCACTTACGAACTTGGATGCTCTCCTTAGACAGCGGTCCAAGCACGTGGCCGAGATACGGGACACCTGGTCCTTCACCCCGGAGCTTGACG